GTTGGGGAAAAGGTTGGGGAGAGGCGTGGAAGAGGTTGGGGAGAGGTGGGAAGAGGCGCCTTGAGCTCGCGGACGAAGCTGGATGTTGCGCTCGATGGGCTTGACGGTTGAGAAGTCTTCAGGGCACTGGCACTGCACGCCGAGCTTGCGAGCTTTGCCAGCTGCGACAACGTCTGCTACACCGCTATTGCTACGTCCTTGCGAGCTTTGCCAGCTGCGACAACGTCTGCTACACTGCTATTGCTACGTCGCGTCGCAGCCTTGCGGCTGCATCACGGAGGCTGCGCACCGCAGATGACGGCCACTGGGCTCGCACAGCTCGTGTCGCACCACCAAGCGGGCGGACAAGGGGCGGCTCTCGCAAGTGTCACACGGAAGTGTCTCGCAGGTGTCTCTCGCAAGTCTAGCAAGTGTCTCTCGCAAGTCTCGCAAGGTGTTGGAGGAGAGAGAGGGGGGGGGGAGGCAACGTTGCGCGGCCTGCGGATGCTTGACCAACACGTCGTCGAGATAGGGGGAGATATGGGGAGATGTGGGGAGATATGGCCTGCGGGTGCGTGACCAACACGTCGTCGAGCGCGAAGCAGAAGCGGCGCTTGATCGAGCCGAGCGCGCGCCCCGCGGCGACCGTGTCGATGAAGGCCTCGAGCCTCGTGGGCGTGCCTGCGGGAGATATGGGGAGATATGGGGAGATGTGGGGAGATATGGGGAGATATGGGGAGATATGGGGAGATATGGGGAGATATGGGGAGATATGGGGAGATATGGGGAGATATGGGGAGATATGGCAGGTGAGGGGCACTGGGCTGGCACTGTGCTGGCACTGTGCTGGCACTATCTAGTGCTGGCACTGTGCGCTGGCACTGCGCTGGCACTGTGCTGGCACTGTGCTGGCACTGTGCTGGCACTGTGCTGGCACTGGGCTGGCACTGCACACGGCTAGAGTCGCGCGCCGCACTGCGACGTCTGCTCGGCGGGCAAACCTACGCGACGAGTCGTGGACATGTCCGGGGACGGCGCCTGGCGGCGCGGCGCGTGTCGCCGCCTCGGATGGCACCGACGAAGGGGCGTCCCTGGTCGAGCATGCGCGAGATGAGGTTGGAGACATAGTAGTGCATCGCCTGGGGAGATGTGGGGAGATATGGGGAGATATGCGCGAGATGAGGTTGGAGACATAGTAGTGCATCGCCTGGGGAGATGTGGGGAGATATGGGGAGATATGCGCGAGATGAGGTTGGAGACATAGTAGTGCATCGCCTGGGGAGATGTGGGGAGATATGGGGAGATATGCGCGAGATGAGGTTGGAGACGGGAGAGATGGAGATGGCCTCTCTCCGCGGGTCGTCGAGCACGTCGCGCGCGAAGCGGTGCAGGAGCGATCCGGAGGCAAAGCCTACGTGTTGAATACGCCAACATCGGGGCAGGAATACGGTATTGTGCAGCGTCTTCGGAGCACCGCGTGAATACAACGGAGAAGAATACAGTGAACACAGCGGAGTACGAATACGTGTCCACTCGAGTGCTGGGTGGGAGACATGAATACGTATTCCGCTTCTAGGATGCGAAGCCGTAGGCGCCGACGTTGGCGTGGTCCGATATGGCGACCTTCTCTGCCACCTCAAGCACCGCGCCGCTCCCCTCCTCGAGCCGCAGGTACGAGTAGATCGCCGCCGTCCCCCGGTCGGTGAAGTAGAAGCAGGCGGACGTGTCGCGCGGGAGCGTGCGGAAGGCGCCGAGCACGTCGGAGAAGTAGAGGTTGTCGCAGTCGAGGCAGAGGGTCTTGCGCGACAGCTCGGCCGGCGACATGTGCTGCAGCCCGATGAAGAGCGTCTCGACCGCCCCGCGCGTCACCATCTTGAAGGTGACGACGCGGATGTCGGCAGCAGGATACTGCCGCTGCAGCAGCGCAAACTCGGCCTCGTACTGGCCGTGCATCGAGTGCGGCACGACGAGCCAGATCACATCGCCCAGCCGCAGCTGCAGGTTGTCGAGCATGTGGAAGAGCATCGGCCGGCCTGCAATCTTGATGAGCGGCTTTGGAAAGACGTAGCCGGCCTCGCGGAAGACTTCGCCGCGGCCGCCCATCGGAATGAGCACGTTGAGAGACGCCTCGTCACGGATTGCAAAGGAAGCGTGCGCCATGGATGAGTGGGCGCGGAGGTGACCGTCACGGATTGTGCGAAGTCAGCGGCAAGTTATGGGGAAAAAGAATTCGCCGCACCAGCGCATTCAGTCGTTGGTCGGACTGTGTTTCGCCTTCCCATCAATCAATCAAGCGAGACACCGCTAGTCGGCTCCGCGATGCGGAGCGGTGCATGAAGGCCGGCGAGCCGCTCACGGTGCGCGAGGCGTCCTTCATCAGCTTGCTGATGGGACACACCGAGCGCCCCGGCGCGGCCACCGTGCGCTTCACCATGCACGTCGACGGCAGTCTCGACGGGCAGATCAACATCAAGTCCGAGTACTCACGGCAGCTGGAGCGTGCAGAGCGCGAGTGCGCGGGCGCGTGCGCCGCCGCGCCCGCCCGCCGCCGCGCCCGCCCGCCGCCGCGCCCGCCCGCCG